GAAAAAGAAACAATTAATTGCAACCATAGTCCCTTTTTTTAAAAGTGCAAATGAGCCCCAAATTTATTATTAAAATGGTAATTAGCATATAATATCCCATCTTTCATTATTGCCACGCGATTTATGCAACATGATTTTTAAACCGCAACTGTACGGTGTCAAGTTTTTGTAATATAGTAAAAAAGTTAGGATGTCGAACCCACATGAATTGATATTCGAATCAATTGAGTACTATAATTATTTTAACTTTCCCTTTATTTAGACGATCAAATTTTGAGTTAATGTTTTTATGCTAAATTAAAATTAAAAAGGATGAACGATGCAAGTAAACGAGGGCAAATTATGAAGTTTCTTATCAAATTATGAATGCCTAAGAAATGATTTCACCGTACATTCGACAATATTTTTTAACTGTATAACTATTTCTATCAATCTTTCCAAAATTTAAAGGCAATAACACTAAATTGATTCTATTTCCATCTCTCGAGCGCCAAATAAAATCTATTTTTATATTTCAATTCTAATATCTCTATTCCGAATTAAAAATATAAAAACTATCAAGCACGTAGTTCTTAATTTAAAACATGCCTCAAAGATTCGTACTTTCTCTTGAAACCTACGAAATCTAGGTTATGTTGTCTTAGATCACGCCTAAATTTGCCTTTCTCGAGCGGCAAAATTTAGAACATCAAATCAATCAATTAGTGGCCAGTTAATTGAAAGCATTGCGCACAAACAACATAAATAAATAAATGGGAAGATCAATTGAAATAATTAAAACGGAATCCAAACATGTCTAAAGTATGCTACATCATACCCTAGAATTAAAATTTAGTGCATAATTAAAGGAATTGACACGAATAAATTAATAAGAAAGAACATAGAGAAGAAAAGGAATAGAAAAACTCGTTTTTGCCGCTCGATTTCTTCTTCCATTGTTGCAAAATCCTCTCAATTTAATTCCTCTTCTTTAATTGTATTGACCAGCCATGGGTTTATTTCCAGATTGTCCCCTTGAAGATTCTTGTAATTGGCCGGCTAAACTCCTATTTCCAGTCACGTGTTCTTGCCGGCTGCTTCCAATTTTCCTTGCTTGTTCTGCTCCTCCTACTTAGGTCTTTTAGGTAGTATTTATAGTCTCCTCAAGTGTTGGACGATTTTGGATTGGAATGGGCCGAGAAATGAGTCCAAAAACATCAAAATATGTTTCCCTGCATAGGCGGCGCCTCGGCACCCAATATAGGCGCTGCGGCACCCGGTTCGGGTGAAAAAAAATTTCTGCGCGTCCTTCAGTATTTTTAATATAACTTTCTCGTTCAATGTCCAATTAAGGTGATTCGAAGCTCGTTAGAAAGCTAACTCAAAGGGGTACAAATTTTCTTCAGATATTATTCTCCGCTTCGATCGTTTGCTATGTCAAAAATGAATCTCAACGTGAGACTGAAATTCCGAAGCACAACTTTTCGGTTGGAAATTGATTTGTGATCATATTTTGACTAAATTTGATCCCTTTGACATCTTTTTTCATCCAATTGACTCTTAGCATGCTCGGATCTTCATTGCGAGGTTCAACACAACTTTTCAATATTTGTGCTTTAGTCCCCGAACTTTGGATCTCTTACAATTTGGTAATTTTCTCCACTTTCGCCGACTTTTGCTTATTTCTTTCAATTTCATCAACCTGCATCACAACATCAAAACACAGAATAAAAAGCTTTAAAATACTCTCAAGAGTAACAAAATAACAGATTAGGTAGCATAAATATTATGAGTATAGAGCACTAATCAATTATTATTGTGAAAAAAGTCCATAGTTTTTTTTTTTGACATTTTCACCCTTAATTACACCTTTGATTGTGCAAACCATCATTTTTATCCATTTTCATCCAATTTCTGAATAAATCTGTGAAATGACGAATATGCACTCCCATTTAAATTTAAAAAAAAAAGAAAATTAATTTTTTTAATTTTTAATTTTTTAATAATTTATTTGATACTCGTTGCACCTTTTTTTTTAAAAATAATTTCTAATTTTTAATAAACTATTTGGGACTTGTTGCAGTTTTTAAAAAAACTTGGAATTATAGTTGCAATTAGTTTTTTGTTTTTCTTTTTTCTTTTTAAATTTAAATATGAGGGTATATTAGTCATTTTCCAACTTCTTATTGAAAATTTGGATGAAAATAGATAGAAATAATGGTTTACGTAAAAAAAGGTGTAGTTAAGGGTAAAATGTCCCAAAAAAAAGAAAGGTAAAGATATTTTCCACAATAATAGTGGAAGGTGGGGGAATTTATGTGCTAATTACCTGTTTACTAATTTATTTGGGACTCATTTGCACTTTTAACAAAAAAACATTTGGGGCTATGATTGCAATTAGTTCTTTCTTTCTTTTTTGTTTTATTTAAATAAAGGGGCATGTTCGTCATTTCACAGTTTTTAATTGAGAAAATGGATGAAACTGATTTTTTGCTCAATGAAAGGTGAAAATAAAGGTGAAAACATCGAAAAATGAAAGGTAAGAACGTTTCCATAATAATAGCAAATGATAAGGACGTTTGTTGGAAGAAAACGGGTCGCCAATATGAGTTGACCCAACCCGACCCCGTTTGCATGGAAATGATTATTGGAGGGAGGAGTTGAAAATCAAATTTGAAAATTAACCTCCCTTAATCCATAACTTTCCATTTACACCCACTCCACCAACAACCAACTACAAGAAATTCAAAAGATATTCAAAATTCGGGTTCTTTCAAGGTGTAAAAATTGGATGTAGGTAGAGGCTTGATTCTTGGGAAAATTACATCTCCAATTGGGTTCTTGAATTGTGAACAACAAACTTCTTCCTTGGTGACCGAGTTTTGACCAAGAAGTAGGTACAACGCGATATTGGAGGCAAGTAATTCAACATCGTTTTTGGGATTTTCAAGTGAGTTTCACAACTTAAATTCGGTTAAAAGCATGTTTTACATTGGTATCAAAGCCAGGATAGGTTGTTTTCTTGCTTAAATACATGCTGTAAATGTTTTAGATTGAATGAAATGCATGAATTCCCGCTTTCTTTGAAACTTTGAATATCGTTAATGGCAAATTTTGATATACTTTATATAAATTCATGAAATTTATGCTCTATGTTCATGATATTATAGAGATCATTTTTGGAAAAGTTCGTGTTATTTGACTTTGTATTTTGGGAGTAAAATCAAACCCTAATTGAGAAAACTGAAACTTCATCGCATGATAATTTCTTGTACGTTAAGTTCCACGCTGCCCATTTTATATGCTTGGATAGATCTTCTCGAAACCTTTTCCACGGTATAAAGAACATAAAATTTGGCCTTGAATTGAGGAAATTATGGCCTTCCAATATTTTGACAGAAAACTACCCATTTTGGAAGACGATGAATAGTAACCAAAAAAATAATAATAATAATAAAATTGAAACTGAAATAGTAGCACTGAGGGTGAGAATTCTTAATTCCATCTTAAAAAATTACACGTTGATCCCTAAAATATTGTAAGTGCAATTTGAAAAATTGCATGTTGGTCCCCACACTTTTGAATGTTAAATATTCCAAATATAATTTGGAAAATTGCATGTTGGTCCCTCAACTATTACAAAATATAATTTTTAGTCCCAACACTTTTTTAATGTTGTTTATTCCAATACCTATTTGAAAAGTTGTGTGTCGGTTCCAATATGATATTTTTTTTGGAAATTGATTGTTCCAAATTCAATTTAAAAGATTGCAAATTGGTCCCTCAAATATTTTTGATTTTTTTATGCAATTAAAATAATTTTCAAATAATCAAAAATATTTATATATACAAATTTTGGGATTTGAATAAATCCTAAAGATTTTTAAAAAAATCAAGAATATTTTTGTTAAGTGTTGTTAAGTGGTATTTGCCTAGTGAGATTTTTTTTTATGAGTTTTCATTTTTTTAATGAAAAATACTCTGAAAGTATTTGATAGACCACATTTTCTATACGTTCATGAGTTGTGGATCTCGATTAGGTTATGCAATCCATTGTGAATAGTTTTTCAATTATTGTGCTTAATAAGATATGGCTGGATCAACACGTGTTTTTAGCATCCTTAGAGGAGCAGCTAGTGGAGCACGGGCTGTGGAACGTGTTGAAAAATTAGGTGCTTATAGAAACTATGAAATGGATCCGCAACATAACCTAGTACAACACATAAAATATCTCGAAGCGATGCGTCGAGAAATGATACATTTGGGATAGCATATATGTGAGGTGGAAAGTATGTATCATCTAATGAGGACGCTTCCTAAATATTGGCATGATGTTGCTATTGAAGTTTTGGATAATTCACCACCTCTATGCTACAGTTATTTGGTCAGGATCTTGAAGAGAAAATGGAATTCAGAAAATGAGAATTTTGTGATTAATTTAGATATGTATGGTTAGTTCAAAATCATCGAACAATGAGAAATTTATTTCTCATGTTTAGTAGTTGTTTATAAATGTTTATTATGATCGAATGTACATATTTAACATTTTGATATTAATGTATATGTTTCATATATGTCAGATTTATTCAAAATGTGTTATTAATTTTATACATTATTAATCTTTTACTTTAGTGGGAGTTCTAAGGGTGAAAGAGTTTAAGTTATTCTGACTTAGAACTTGTGATTTTACGCTATGAAATTAATTTTGTGATAATGTAACATTATGATAATGGATGATGATTGGAAATTCAGTGAACTTTCGACTCCATGTCTAATGTGAAATTATCATAAAATATAATTTGCATGAGCGCAAAATGATGTGTGCATAAATGGACATTTATATGATTGTCTTTGATATTTTGACAGACCATGGCATCCAAGAAGATCCAGGGGTGGGTCAAACTGCTCAACAAAGAAGGGACCAGGAAACTTACCAGACATGAAAAAAGAAAAATTACACTGCTCATGCAATTTTGGTAAGTTCTGTGGTGGATGATCTCATACATGACATCTAGACATATATGAGAGAGAAATACGGTGGTACTAGTGTGACTAGACTGAGGCAGCTGACTATTAAATTTGACACTTACAAGAAACTTCCTAATCACAATATCACACAACATGTGAGGATCATGTCTACTATGATTAGGGAATTGAAGTTAGTTGGTCATATACTCTCTGATGAGCAACAAGTTCAGGCTTCGATCCGCTCTCTTTTTTATAATTGGGAACATCTGAAAGTCAATTTGACTCATAATGATAGTATCAAAACATTTGCTGATGCTGCCTGCCATGTGGAATTAGAAGATGAGCGCCTTGGTGCAGCCAAATTTTTAGTACAAGCTTTTGTGGCTGAATCTAGTTCTGGGAAAGCTTCAGGCTTTAAGCGTAAGAAGAACTGGTTCAAAGGTGGGAAAGGAAAGGGAAAAGAAACTAGACAGGGACCTAAAAAGAATAAACACAAGCGCAATAACAAGGGTAAATGGTTTGGAAAGAAGAAAGATAAGAGCAAGCTGAAATACTTTAACTATCAGGTGATGGGTCACTTTGCTCAGGAATGCCCTGAGCTAAAGAAGGTAGCTCTTATAAATACTTCTTTTAATGTTGTTTATGCTTCAAGCACTGTTATGCTAACTATCCTATGTAGATTGTAGACTCAGGAGCGATAGACCATGTAACCAGGGATCGAGAAGTGTTTGTGGAGTTCTGTCGATTTCCAGCTAGTACAAAGTGGATATATGTCGGCAACGATGATAGAGTGGAGGTGAAAGGGATCGGTACATGCAAGTTACATTTGCATGGTGGCCGTACTATTCTCCTTCATGATGTCCTGTTTGCACAGGGGATACGAAGGAACTTAATTTTCGTTGTTGTTCTTTTAAGATTACGTTTCAACTTGAACTTTTGTGGTAATTCTGTTCGTATAAACAATCGTGATGTATTTTATGGATCTGGGCATGTAGAAGATAGCTTTATAGTGTTGGATTGTGATTCAAACACTTATAATTATTATGTTGATCGTTGTTTTTCTATGAATGTATCTTCTTCTTCTTCTAAAGATTTGAATGTTGATACATTTGTATGGCATGCTAGATTAGGATATATTGGACAAGAAAGAATGAATAGGTTGGCTAAAGAAGGCTTGCTAGGTTCGATCTCTATGGTTTCGTTACCTACTTGTGAACATTGCCTAATCAGAAAAACAACACGAAAACCATTCGGTAAAACTTTAAGAGCCGAACTTCCATTTCAATTAGTCCATTAAGATATATGTGGCCCGATGAATGTGAGGGCAAGACATGTAGCCTCTTATTTCATCACTTTTATAGACGATTTTATGCGGTATAGTTATGTCTATTTGATTTTTCATAAGTCGGAGGCATTGGAATGCTTTAGACGATATTTAAATGTGGTAAAAAATCAAATAGATAGAAAGGTGAAAGCCTTGAGAACTATCGAGGGCGTGAATATTAATCCGAAAAGTTTAGAAAACTATGTGATGATAAGGGAATCATTAGACAATTAACTATTTATGATACACCTCAACAAAATGGTGTTGCTGAGAGGTGGAATATAACGTTGCTAGAAATAGTGAGGTCCATGATGGCGCAGGCTAACTTACCTATTTCCTATTGGGGAGACGTTTTATTATCTGCGACCTACATTCTGAATAGAGTTCCTTCTAAATCAATACCTACTACACCATATCAGCTTTGGACAGGTAGATCCACTAATTTAGGTTCTCGTAGATCTTGGGGATCAGCTGCCTATATCTATGATTCCTCAAGTAAGTTTGGAAAATTGGGTGCTCGAGGTAAGAAGTGTATCTTTGTAAGATACTCAAACCAGTCTAAAGGATATGTGTTCATAGGTGAAATCAAGATGACACTATAACTGAGATAGAGTCATGTGATGTGACATTTCTTGTGAGTGATTTCCTTAGTAGGGGAGAAATTAAAAAGGGAGAAACTTTATATGAATTAGATGATAGAGTTGTACTTGATGGATTAACTCAAATGCAAGAGGAATCACTTCCGCTTGTCGATCCAAGTGGGAGTAATTTATCTCCAACTCCAAGTGACAGGGTCACATCGGAGCTTTCACTTCGTAAGAGTACTAGAAAAAGTATGCCTAAAGATCATTTTGAGATTGAAGGGCAAGTTTTCCTAGTATCTCCTGAAGATGGTGAAGAACCAAGTTCAGTACAAGAAGTTCTATCATGTCCTGCAAATGAAAAATGGAAGAATGCAATGGAAGAAAAGATGGAGTCTATGAAATCAAATTAAGTCTGGGGCTTGGTTGATCTTCCATCTGATCGAAAAGCCATTGGGAACAAATGGGTTCTCGAAATAAAGCGAAGAGCTGATGGGATTTAGATTTAGAATTACATCAAATGAACGTGAAAACTGCATTTTTCAATGGAGAATTGGATGAAGAAATCTACATGCATCAACCAGTAGGTTTCATTAAAACAAGTCAAGAGAATAAAGTTTATAAATTGATTAGATCAATCTATGGCCGAAAGTAGTCTTCTAGACAGTGGTACTTGAGATTTGACAGAGCGGTTATCTTGTACAATTTTGTCATGATGGATGAAGATCACTCTATTTATTTGAAAAGCTCCAACGAGAAATTTTTAATTTTATCTCTTTACGTAGATGATATCTTGTTGGCTGGAAATGATAAAGAGTATATTAAAACCATTAAGAAATTGTTGTCCTTAAATTTTGAAATGAAAGACATGGGTGAAGTAGGTTACATATTAGGTGTTAAAATCCATAGAGATCGTTCAAAGAGGTTTCTTGCTCGGTCACAAGAGCCATATATAAAGAAAATTCTTGAACGTTTCAAAATGGAGAATTGCAATCCCATTGACACTCCTGTATCAAAAGGCGAAACTCTAAATCTTCTCATGTGTCCTAAAATTCTCGAGGAAAAAGAAGAAATGTCTAGAGTTCCATATTCTATTGCAGTTGGAAGCTTGATGTATGCTATGATGAGTACCTGTCCCGACATTTGTTATGTCGTAGGTCAGATCAGTAGGTATCAATCCAATCCTAGAAGAGTGTATTGGAAGCTGTTAAAAGAATATTGAGATACTTGAAGGGTACTGCTAATTACTCCATGTGCTATCAAGGAAATGATTTGTTCTTAAAAGAATACATAAATGCTGATTAGGGTGTAGACCTAAATGAGCATAAATCAACTTCGGGATATGTATTTTTGCTTAATAATGGTGCTATCTTTTGGAGTAGCAAGAAACAGACATGTATTTCGTTATCCACAATGGAAGCAGAATTCGTAGCAAGTACTTCAGCGGTACAAGAAGTTGTTTGGTTAAGGAGATTCTTACAGCATCTAAGAGTCGTTAGTGGTGATGTAGGACCTATATTGATCTACTGTGATAGTCAGGCTACTATTGCATATACTAAGGATCCCAAGTATCACAGTAGAACCAAACACATTGATACAAAATATAATTTTGTAAGAGACATCATAGGCAAGAAGGAAGTAAATTTGCAGTATATTTCTATGCACCAAATGGTAGCTGATCCACTTACAAAACCCATCCCTAAAGATATTTTTATGACGCATGTTAAATCTCTGGGATTGCATAGAATTTAAATTGTACACTATGTAAACTTTTTCATATATGTCCATTAATGAACAATGTTTTGAGTTCACATGTTAAGAGTAATATTTTATTGTGATTTTTAGATTACAATTGCATATGCACACATAAAGTATATCAAATAGGTTGAGATTGGTTCACTCACACGAACAATCGCCTCAGAAGACACTTTGAGGTGTGCTGAGATGAGACACAGTGATCTATTGTATACATGATCCAGTCGCCTTGATGTGATATCAAAATGGGATTACAACAAGTAATTGGTATGGATTTTTTTTGCTATCCATTAGACTTGTTTTTACAGCCAGATCGAGTTCTCGATTTGAGATTACCTAGAGGAATAAATATGAGAACTCAGGTTAGATATAGAGGAATATCTGAACTATGATCTGTACAATGTATTTAATTTGCAAGATTTGACATACGTTCTAAGAAAGGAAGAAAACATCGTAACACGTGTTTCATACCACGTGTGCTTTAACAACCAATGAGAAATGAAAGAATTGATCCCTGCTTCTTCATTGTGTGAGTCTCTGTACATTTGACCTCACTTATATATACCCTTATGACTTTTAACTATTTCTCATAATTTTATTTCAATGTTGCTACTTTAGCATGTTGCCAATAACTATGGTTGATTCGGTTTGATGGGACATGTCTAGAAAAGCAACTGATTTGAAATAAAGGGATTCAAGTAGGAAAGGAAGACTATTTAACTAACACATCGGCTTGTATTCACCGGCCAGACAATTGTGTTGATTATTTGAGTTTTGTGGTACAATTGTGAATACAATATAAATGAAAAAGTTGAGTATATTCTAAAATAAATTGAAGGGTCAGAAATACTCGAACTAGTGTTACAAAAGATGCTTGGGGTATAATGAGAAATATAATTTCTCTTTCAGAGCTGCTATATATCCCTTACAGGTATATAGTGCTCTGTGCTCATAAATTAACTTGTTGATCGCACGATCCATTTACCTGTATGAACTTGAAGATGTTGAGATTTATATAATTGATATTATATTAGAATCAGGTCAAGTCCATCATGTGCGAGTGGGAGATGTTGGAAGAAAATGGGTCACCCATATGGGTTGACCTGACCCGACCCGATTTGCATGGAAATAATTATTGGAGAGAGGAGTTGAAAATCAATTTTGAAAATTAACCTCCATTAATTTATAACTTCCCATATACACCTACTCTACCAAAACCAACTACAAGAAATTCAAAAGTTATTCAAAATTTGGGTTCTTTCATGGTGTAAAAATTGGATGCGGGTAGAGGCTTGATTCTTGGGAAAATTACATCTCAAATTGGGTTTTTGGATTGTGAACAATAAATTTCTTCCTTGATAATCGAGTTTTGACCAAGAAGCGGGTACAAGGCGGTGTTGGAGGCAAGCAATCAATAGGCAAGTAATTCAACCTCTTTTTTGGGATTTTCAAGGAAGTTTCATAACTTAAATTCGGTTAAAAGTATGAAAGCATGTTTTACAACGTTATGTAAGAATTACCCTTAACATTTATGTATGTGAAGTTTATTTTCGTGATTGAGTTGAGGTTGCTCTGAATTAAGTATATATATATTTTGAATGGAGGAATACAATATAACAATGAAATTGGAATGTTGTGGTGCCTTACAAGATAACAATGAGTTGGGTATATATATTATGTGATTTGTGTCTTTCTTGCTAAATGAAATCATGTGGAGGGAAACATTTGAAAATTGAATCTCGGGGCTGGATGTTGCTAGCCACGGTCTGAAGTACATGTACTCGACACATGGAGCTACTAATATGTCTAATGCCTTGGTCTCTTCTGCTATATGGGCACCTACTATCACGTCGACCACTATGACGCTAATGATTTTGTCTTTGTAAACATACCACCTCCCTGGCGAGTAGCTAGCTTAAGATGTGGTTTTGTACTTTTGTTTTCTTGAAGTTTATGAAATAAGAAGATGATAGGGAAGTTTTGTTATACTTTTGCTACTACAATAAAATCCTCACTTTTGAAGGTGTAAAATGGCCAATTAAATGATGGAAAATCCTCCAATTACAGGCTTTTTCCATAGATTTTGTACAGGAAGATCCATGATTTGCTGTGTGCCAAAAATTGGGAAGACATCAGCTGCCTTCCTGTACAAAATCTATGGAAAAACCCTATACTTATAGCATGTTTCTTAAATGATATAAAGTGTGTATTATGTATAAGATGTTATTGGAATCTTCAGCTACAGATTTCGATACATGGTTTTTGGCACACAGCGAATCACAAGAAGATAGCAACTGCCTTGTACAAAATCTGTGGAAAATCCTATACTAATAGCATGTTTCTTAAATGATATAAAGTATGTATTATGTATAAGATGCTATTGGAATCTTTAGCTATGGATTTCGATACATGGTGTTTGGCCCACAGCAAATCACAGGAAGACAGCAGCTGCCTTCCCGTACAAAATCTGTGGAAAACCCTATACTTATAGCATGTTTCTTAAATGATATAAAGTACGTATTATGTATTAGATGTTATTGGAATCTTCAACTACAGATTTTGATACATAGGAGCCAGGTGTTGAAACACATTTTTTCTGGAATTGTTGTATATTTTCAGAACTTGGTTGTATAATATTGCCTTTTGTTTATTAAGGGTTTTGGTTTTTATATTTTAGTTAGATTTAGGCAAGCATTTTTCTGGCATTTGAATGCAAAAGGACTAATGAAGTTGGATAAGAAGGCGCTTTAACAGATTGCTTAATTAATCTATACTCTGAAAAAGTTGAATCAGATCTAATTATTGTGATTTTCAGTAGATAAATTTTGACATCCGAGTCTGAAAATCCTGAACCTGTATCGTATCAAGTGCTAAACTAAGATTTCAGTCAATGAATCTTTGCCTAGTTAAGGTGCATTAATCAATTCTTGGGCATTGATATTGGAAATCCTTAACTGTCTTGATCCAGAAGAGCTTTCTGTTAGGTTTATTTAATTTGTTATGTAAGCTGACATATATAATTAATTGTGTATAAAGGCTATCTTAAAGTTACACCCACAATTAAAGTGATCTAATAAAGAATTAAGTAATTAAGCTTTGGGCATCTAAATAAAATGTGGGCCGAATTATGTATGTAGAGAGCAGTTTTCTTTAGAATTGTACTTGATGATGGCTGAAACACATATGGAAACTTTATATAGGGTTATAATCCCCAATTCATAAGTAATTTCTCATTATTTGTGTTTTCCCATCGACATAAGAATTCATAGAGAAAGTATATTGAATAGGAAGATCCAAAACCCACCATCAAGATCAGTAATCAAGAGGAATGGATTGAAGCAATTAAATTCAAGAATAGGACAATCAAGATTGAAAGCAAGAAACCAAGCAAGATGGGATTCCAAGTTGAATTTCAAGATTCAAGATCCGAAATCAAGATCTAGTATGAAAGAAACGTTCCCAAAGAATTAAGGTATGTTCCACATTATTAATTATCTTGATGATTTGACATGGAAGATCTTGGGAATAAAGGAATTTAGGTTTTCAAATTCTAAAATTTCTAGTTTCATGAAGTTTAAAGTTTCATAAAGTTTCAACACTTACTTGTTTCTTGTGTCAATACAATTTTATATAAGATTCTATCTGAACACCATGAATG